GTTTGCTGAAATGGGCATTTGTGCCTACCCTCGATACAGCCTGTGCATTGACAGCCACAGCCATAGCGCTTAGACTTATATTCCGCTTCACGGAGCTTCCTCACTGGAGGCTTTCAGAAGAGACTGGACTACCATCTGTCAGAAATGGTGTAGAGTCTCCTGCTTGAGCTGGGGGTTGGACTAGATGACCTACAAGGTCCCTTCCAACTCTGTTAATCTAATCTGCCCTGGAGGGAAGGGGAGGCCACCATCCACAAAGACCTCTCTTCTTCTCCTTGCCCAAGAGCCTTTTTCAGATTTTATATGCCTCTTTGCTGAGCCTTTGCAGGAGACCCAAAACGGTGACTCATTCAGAGGCGAAATGCTTAAATTATGAGAGCCTCTTCTGCCAGCCCAACCACAGGGGGAAGGGAGGGGGGAGCCGGAGGGAAGCGCCAGTTTGTAGACAACGATATCCTGGTTTTTCGCTAACCATGGTTTATCCCCCCCCCCTCTTCCTGTCACGAAAGGCCAGATTCGCTTTGCATGCTAAGCATTTCAAAATGCCCTGTTGAGTTTGGTGGATAAGAGTTGAAGCAGGTTGCAAAACGTTTGCAGCTGCCAAAGAACATCGGAAGCGTGGGAACCGATCTGCAAAGCACAAGGGAGACCTTCGTGATCTCGCCCCCCCCCAAAAAAACCTGAAGGGCTCTTTTTCTCACACACACCCCTCAATTTTGTTTGCCGCTATCACCTCATCCCGAGCTCGATGGGCCTTTTTTGGAGCCTCTACCCCACCCCAGTTGCCCGTAAAGTTTTCCACCCAGCCCAGAGTATCAAACGAAGACGGGCTTGGGAGCCGAAGGGTCGGCGGATGGGGTGAGGGGGAGAGGGGACCGTGAGAAAAATTCTTTCAGGGTTGCAAATCTGGCTGGAGGGTGAGGGGATTCTGGGCAGGAAACCAAGAATTTTGAGAGCAACCGGGGACTAAATCTAAAAAAAGCAGAAATCTCCCAGCTGCAGATCCCTTAAGACCCCCCAACCTCCTTCCTAACTTCTCATCTTAAGTCTTGCTGAACCAACCCTTCCTCAAATCTTCCATCCCCAGACTCCCATGCAAGGAAAAGATAAAGAATTAAAGTTCCAAATAATCTATGTTTTTTTTAACCTTTACATTAAATACATAGACAGACAGCCTTCGAGTTAGGACCGCAGTTGTGTCCCAAAATGGATGCTGCTAAGTGAGACATTTGTTAAGCAAGTTTACAACTTTTCTTGCCGCATTTGTTAATATAATACAATACGACAGCAGAGTTGGAAGGGACCTTGGAGATCTTCCAGTCCAACCCCCTGCCTAGGCAGGAAACCCTACACCACTTCAGACAAATGGCTATGCAACATCTTCTTAAAGACTCCCAGTGATGGAGCATTCACAACTTCCGGAGGCAAGTTGTTCCACTGATTAATTGTTCTCACTGTCAGAAATTTCTCCTCAGTTCTAAGTTGCTTCTCTCCTTGATTAGTTTCCACCCATTGCTTCTTGTNTATATTTGATTCCATTCCATTTTCTATCTTCCATCCCATCCCATTCCATTCCATTCTATTTTATATTCTATTCAATTCCATTCTATATTCTATTCTATTCCATTCCATTCTATATTCTATTCCATTCTGATTTCTATTCTCTATTCTATTCTAATTCCATTCCACTCCACTCTGTTCTTATTCTATTCTATTCCATTCCATTCTTTCTATTCCATTTTCTATCCTATCCTATTTTATTCTATTCTATGTCCATAGTCCTAGTCCAATCTATAATCTAATCTAGCCTAGTCTATTCTAATCTTCCCTTAACCTCTCCCTTCTATCCTCAGCTTATCAGCTAATTTATATTCTTTGCTCCCAGTCTCTCTGTCTGAGACCAACCAGCCATCCCTTCTGCCCTCTTGAATACAATCCAGCAAATGACTTTTGCAACTCAATTCGTCAGGCTATAAACGAAGAAGGAAAGGGGGGGGGGGGAAAGAGAATTGCAGTTCCAGCAAAGGAACATTTGACATCCTTTTTCTTCTAATAAGTGAAGGAACCCCCCCCCCCGAACCTTAAGGATCTTCCTTCATCTGGTTTTGGCCAGAGTGGTAAACTGAGTCCAAAGTTAGGCAACCTAACCTTGTGGATGCGGGAGATAAATTGGGAGACTGGTTCGAATTGGAAGGCTGGCAATGCACCAGCTGTTTAAATATTCAGCACACCACCTTCATTGGAGGAATGATCTCAGCCCATGTTATTTTAATGATTACTATAGCAATAATTCCTCTTAGGAAAGGACGTGTATTTTTTTGCTCTGTGTCCCCATCGTTCTCGCTAAAAATACACGGATCGATAGTAAAATAGCAAGAAAATAATAATAGCAAAATGTTTTAGAACAATGGTGAAGATGAACCCAACTATCCTAACCCTGCGGCTGCTAGCTCACGCCAGCCATTAGCTCCTTTAGAGCCTCCACATTCAGAGGCAGTCTATCTAAGACCACACCTAGAGTACGGCATCCAGTTTCGGTCACCACACTATAAAAAAAGGAAGCTGAGACTCTAGAAAGAATGCAGAGAAGAGCAACCAGGATGATGAGGGGATTGGAGGCTAAAACACATGATGAATGGTTGCAGGAACTGGGCATGGCTAGTNCATGACTCAACTCCCGAAGGAGCAGGGAACGCTGTTCTCTTCCCACCAAAGGTGGTTCCTGTTTTTCAACTTGCATTTATTTACGTGCTTTCGAACTGCTAGGTTGGCAGAAGCTGGGACGAGTCATAGGGGCTCACTCCATTACGTGGCACTAGGGATTCGAACCGCCGAACTGCTGGCTTTGATCGACAAGCTCAGTGTCTTCGCCCCTGAGCCATCGATTTTTATTAGCCACTGTTAAAAATAAGGTACCATAGCATCCTAAGCAAGCTGTTATGGAGGAATCCATTTGATTCAAACACATCGTTATTAGGATGAAAAATACTGGGTCTTTCCAATTTCCTTGCTCTGTGTCTTGACCATCAAAACAACTGTCTCTTTCTTTCAATGGCTGTTTTTTTTTAAACTCACCACTTTTTTCTATTTATTTTTATATTCTAGAAAAAAAAAACCCTCACAGCTTTTTTCTCTATGCCGACGGGAAAACCCCAAACGGTTTTGAGAGTACTTAGTTTCTCTTCCCAAAGCAATCAATTGGGTCCTTTGATTAAACTCTAAATATGTACACACACACGCGCACACACACATACACACACCGAAAAAGGAGGGTGAAAAAGAAAAAGAATTACATGTTTTTTAAAAAAAGAAATAATAAAAAAAAAACCAGCGGCCTAAAGAGATAAAACCAAGACGTCCAGAAACTTTCTGAATATTTGAAAAGCGGAAAAGCGTCTGAAAAGTTGGAAATCTAAACGCTGAAAAAGAGACCACAACGTTTTAAAACTTCGCTTGCTTTCGTTTCGAACCTGGCGTGTAACCCTGGCTCCTGTGGTTCGTAAACCACGATTACTGGCTTCGTTAGCATGATCTGCAAACCCAGCCGTTTTGGTCCTGAAAAAACATAACCGGTGAGAACATAGCTCTTGTAGCTTGCAAATCTTGGTTTACAATCCGGCTAATGTCACTTACTTGACACCCCATAGTTAGAAGAAGGAGGAGGAGGAGGAGGAAGGAAGGAAGGAAGGAAGGAAGGAAGGAAGGAAGGAAGGAAGGAAGGAA